AATTTTAGCAAAAATTGACAGATTGAAAGCAAATATAGATTTGCCAATCTAATACGAAGCCTACCGTGCTTTGTGAAAATAGCTTTTTTAATAAATAATTTACTGTAATGAGGAATTGTTTTGCCTAATATTAACCTACATATATAAAGCTTCCTAATTCTTCCTAATTCTGGATAGTCTTTTGGAGCCCACAGCAGGGTCCTGGATTGATTAAACACATGTTTACACCTCTGGAGTTTTGCTTAATAAAGTTTCATTACATATTGAGAAGATTTAGGTAATCATTTATCTGTATTGAGGTAGGTGTTACTGACTATGTGGCTCTTAATGTCGTTGAACTACTCGTATCTGAATCACTGAATTTGTTTAATTATAGAATTTGATTGAGTGAGCTCTTCGAACTCTAGTGAAATGGAACAATAAAATTTTATTATTTTAATTAATTGAATGTTTGGCTGACAATAGAGCACTTTAAAGTATTGTCAAATACAATCATTAGTAGTATTTTTGCAATTATTTCTTATATGAAATAATTCGTTAATAATTTTTTTAGCAGACTACAATTACCAACTCGTACCCTCCAAATTTAAAGCGCAGTATCTGTGTGGATCATTAGCCAACTGACCCAAAGCCGCACTTGATTTATATGTTCGCACTTTTTTTCTGGAGTTTTGTTAATTTTCTACGACAGTTCATTAACAAATTGGATTGCGATGTTATATTGGAACGACGAAATCATAAACCAGCGGAAGAATAATTGAATTAAACAATTGTAGTTACTTTTAATTAAATTCATTATCCATTTAAAGGATTTGATTTAAATCTTATTCTCAATTTTAAATATATAAAATATGTTAAGAGTTTATAAAATAAATTGATAACGAAATTAATAAAAAAAAACATTTTAAAAGTTAGAAGTGTTCGAATATAAATGAAAAGACAACAACAAAATTTTTTGTTAATTTATTAAAGTTTGATTGACCATACAAAGATGTTTCGAGTATTGCAAAAGTACTCATCATCAGTGGTCTTAGGAAATATTCGAATTTTTTGTAATTAGTTTATAATCCGTATACATATATTAGGAAATAATATGAATATTTCCTAAGACCACTGTTAATTAGTACTTGACAATACTGAAAACAGTGTTGTATGGTCAGTTAAATTTCAATAAATTACGTAACATTTTTGTTCTTGTTTTTTCATTTCTATTCGAACCATTCTAATTTTTAGATAGTTCTTTTTGTCATAAGACGCTTCATTTTCGAATAAAAAAAAATTAACATTATAACACAAGATTGATCCCATCAAAAAATACATAAAGGATAGAGCCCTGAAATTATTTGCGAAATCTGACAGACTTACTAACACCGCGTTATCAAATCTCAGAATGGTTACAGGCTCCTCGGGGAGATATGCAGATCTGAGGTCAATTATTGCTTAGTCTAATGAAGTGATAAACAATAATCCAGTCAAGGCGCAAAAAGGGGTTTTGTAGAAACCTCGCAGTTAATAGAGAGTAAAAGTGCTCAGGTGCACTGACTCAACTCAACTAGCCTCAACATAGAGAAAGAAACATTACATCAGAAAATTATTTTTTTTTCTTCAAATAAATAAATTTATACTTTATACCTTTTTTAATAACAGTGTATAAACAATGTCTTAAAGGCCTATTTAATTTATTTATAAGGCCGCGTGCGAGTTCAAATAAATTGGTGGTAAATTAAAGAAAATAGTGAATTTTGTCGATATAGCAGTGAATGTTGGTATTTACCAGAATTTCGTGTAGGGTAAATTAGATAAAAATTTTGAAAGATATTTAATAAATAAATAAAAAAAACCTCTTTATAAATAAATAAATAAATTTGAAAATTTTTAACCAAAAATAATAAATAAGTGCAATAAATATTCCTAGAAAATATAAATTTATTTTACCTCAATTTATTCGAACTCGTACACGGCCTAAGCCACTGTACTTTTATGCGGCTAATATTTCTATAATATTTGCATTTGTTTAACAACTTTTAGGGCTGCTGCCGCTAGGGGTATTCGAAGAAAAAAATATATTTCCTTTCTTACAAATTTGTTGCTATACAAATTCTTTGTTTTGCTATTGTGCTACTTAGCTATTGTGTATTGTATTGTATTGGATTGGATTGGATTGTATTGTATTGTGTTGGGTTGTGTTGTGAAGTGGTCTCAAATACATACAAATGTGCATGTTTTGTGTTATTATCAGAGTTCGGAATGTGGTGCACAAAATCGCACACTGCACTGTGCGAGTGGAAATTATTTTTAAAATATGCACACGCACATTTGTGGTGTTAAGAAAAAAAATGCACGCACTCAAATTTGTTGTGCGATTTTAAATTTCACATCGCACAAAGCGATGATTGTGCACACAGATTCGTGCACACACATTTGTGCTGTGTGACTGATTTTTAAAAATGTGCACAATCAGATGTGCGAGAAAATTTTATGCTCGCACCGCACTGTGCGACAAAAAATTCTCTTTGCACACGAGTGTGCTGCTCATATTACGTTTGCACAAATGTGCACAAATGTGCGACTGCACAAACGTGCACAAATGTGCACAAATGTGCGATGCACAAACGTGCACAAATGTGCGATTTTGCGCTTGCACCCAAGGGTGGAAAAAATTACAGGAACTTCACAATTTTGTTTGAAATAGAAAATATTATTTTGTTGCAAATTTTTAAAAAATTGATATTTGCGTTCGTTGGGATCGTAATTTATGTTAAAAATTGCATAAATTAACAAATATTTAAAATAATTATTTTTGTTAATTAATGTAAACTAAACATTATAACTGTCTTAACCTTATTTGTATTTTAACTTAAAATATTAGTTTTTTGTATATTACTTTGAGCATTTTTAAATGCAAATATAGTAAGTGAACTTAAAGTATTTGTTTGGAAAGTTTTGCACCAGTTTAAAAAAAATAAAAACATATTTTAGGAAGATTTTTTTATGCCCAAAAAATATGAAAGATTAGGAAAATATTTTTTTTGAACAGGTAGCAGGTATTGGTATTGGTGTATTTGTTTAATAAATTTTGCAACAGTTTAAAAAAGATAATACGGGAGGGCCACAAATAGGTATTTTTCTTCTCCAGAAATATGTATTCACTTAGGTAGAGTATCTAACATTCATTAAAAAACGCGAAAGATTAAGAAAATATTTTCTTGAACAGGTAGCAGGATTTTAGCGCCCTTTCTACTGTGCTAAGTAAGCAGAGATATAATTTAAGTGAAAAAATTATTTCAGCAATGTTATTAATAAGATTAAATGAAAATTTATTTCAAAAAATATGTAATAAAAATTATATATTTTTTAATAAGAAATTAAAATATTAAATTATTAAATTATTTCAATAACTTTGTAAAATTTAAACTGTAATTAAAGATAAAAAATTAAGTGAAATCTAATAACAAAATTAATTTATGTTGTTGTAAAAAATATTTAATTTGCTTTTTATAACCTTACTAACGAATCTTAGTGTACAACTTACTATTAAATAAAATTTTATGAAGTAGTCCAAAATTGATATATTTAATTTTTTCAAAGTACGATCCGTAGAACCGATCCTCTTTACTTATAACATTTCGAAACAAATACTCTTTCTCTATTAAATTCATGTACCTATTGAATATAACAAAGTTTTCAAGTACATTGTGAAATTAACTTTATTCCCATATTTTAAATTAATAAACCTTAAAAAAATAAGTAATATAAGCAATAAATGTAAATCTAATAATAAATTCAAAATTAAAATATAAATACAAAATTATTTCTTCAATAAAATATTTCGCATTAAGACCAAAATTAATACAAATCAGTTTTCCGTACTATTTTGCTGCGATATTTGTCATAATATTGTGCGCTTTTAAATCATAATTTTACACAAACGTGCAGTAGACATTTCGTCTCCGCACATTTGGGTGCATTTTTATTTTCGAGCCTGCACACAAAATGTGCTTCTCGTATTCTTTTCTGCACACGTTGTGTGCGAGGGCAAGTTGGCTGCCGCACACACAATGTGCTGTGCGAAATAACTTCGGCACAAACACCGAATGCGTGTGCGAGTTTTATTTCACTCCACCACACTCGTGTGAAATGTGCGTTTCGTTTGTGCACACAAGATGTGCACTTAAGATGTGCACAAAAATTTTCGCACACCACATTTGTGGTGTGAAATTTTAGAATCGCACAACATTTGTGCGTGGTGTTTTGCATTTTTGTGCACAGCACAGTGTTTTTCTGAACCCTGGTTATTATGATGAGTTATAAATTCGATAATTTTGGACCTTAGACTCTGTTTTACTTTTCAATTTTACAGTTAGAAATAGCTTCAAATAATTAATAATTATTTTTGAACTTTTAATACATACATACATACATATGTGCACATACATACAAACGTGTTATTATTTCGTGTTTTTTTTGCAGTTTTATATCTTCATATTTTACATATCGACGAACAAACGAAACCGACATTGTTTCGGCATTATGGCTGATACTGTTCTATGAAATATATATATATATATATATGCATGTATGTATGTATGTACGATTGCTTGTATGGATGTAAGTGTATGCATAAGTTGTATACTAATTAATGTTATACGCGTTTGTATGTCAACAGCAGCAAATATGTGTAATTGTATATACACATTTAATTTATATTTTTGCTGATATTGATATTGAATGAATTTCGACTTAAGCATTTAGTCGCCTCTACTTTATTTCACTTCACTTACTCACTTACTCAGTTACTTACACTTTACACTTCAATATTCTGAGTTCTGGGTTCTGAGTAATAATTAATTTATTATTTTATATTTATTTCACTCTGCTTGAAAGCAACTTGCTTGCTTTGTTTTAATTATAATTTTAACGAAGAACGAAAACAACAAAAACAACAAAAACAACAAAAACAAGCAAATAAACAACCACAAAACCAAGTTGTTGTTGTGCAGTTTTGTTAAGAAAATCATGTCAAAGTGTTAAAAACCGTCGATCGGTGAGGTTGGTACCTTGTTTGCTTGGTTAGTGCAAAATTGCACATTCATTAGTAATTTCTTAAATTGTTTGTATTTTTTTAATAGTTTGTAATGTAAATTGTATGATTTTGTACACGATTCCTTGCTGTCTTTATAAATTTCTTTTTTTTTTATTTTCAATTTAATATTAAAATTTATTTTTTTAACGAATAATTGTGTGTTGCTTGTGTGGCGTGTAAGTTCAAAAAATAACTGTTATAAAAAGGACTTATAATGAAAGGTGAATTTAAAAATCGAATGCACATTTGGATGCTGTTGGAGACAGAACTATTTTGAAAAATTGGAAATTATTTGAAATTGTGAACAGCTGTGATGTGAACAATAGATTTAAAAAAGTGTTATACAAATTAATAAAAAAACATGATTTCATATGTAATTGTGTATAAAAAAATATATGAAAAATAATTAAACATCAAATAAATAAATAATTTTATATTTTAAAAAAGTGTATTAATATTAAAAAAAAAAACATTGAAAACCAACAGAAAATTATATTTTTGAATTAATTATTAATAAAAAATAAAGTTCTGAAAACTAATAGAAATTTATATATTTGAATTTTTTTTAACTAAAAACGAGAAGAAAAACATATAAGCAAAATTATTAAAAATCAAATAAATAAATAATTTTATATTTTGAAAAAGAATATTAAGAAAAAAAAACAATGAAAATTAAAAAAAAATTAGTTTTTTAAATTAATTATTAATAAAAAATAAAGTTTTGAAAACTAACAGAAATTTATAATTTTGAATTTAAAAAAAAAAAGTACAAAAAAATATATGAATAATATAACGAAATATACAATGTAAAATTTATAACGTGAAAATCAAAGAGAAACATATATAATAAATACAATAATAATAATAAAACCTAAAAATAGAAACACGAAAAAAAGGATGAAAATGTATAAATTATATATATTTTAAAAAGAATATTAACAAAAAAAAAGAAAAAACTTTGAAAACTAATAAAAATTTATATTTTTAATTTTTCTTAGTAAAAAAAAGTACAAAAAAATAGATAAAACATAATTAAAAATCAAATGAATAAATAATTATATATTATTGAAAAGTATTTTATTTTTTTTTTTTTTTGTGACCAAAAATATTATATAATAATTTGTTGAGATGGGCTAATTGGACAATTTAAATACAAAATAAAAACTATAATTTATTAGTTATATTTAAAAAAATTATATTTTATTAAAATATTATTCCGATATTTCGACTATCTTCAATAGTCATCTTCAGGGAAACTAACAAAATATACAATGTAAAATTTATAACGTGAAAATCAAAAAGAAACATATATAATAAATACAATAATAATAATAAAACCAAAAAATAGAAACACAAAAAGAGGACGAAAATGTATAAATTATATATATTTTAAAAAGAATATTAACAAAAAAAAAAGAAAAAATTTTGAAAACTAATAAAAATTAAATTAAATAATTTTAATTTAATTTTTCTTAGTAAAAAAAAGTACAAAAAAATAGATGAAACATAATTAAAAATCAAATGAAAATATAATTATATATTATTAAAAAGTATTTTATTTTTTTTTTTGTGATCAAAAATATTATATAATAATTTGTTGTGATGGGCTAATTGGACAATTTAAATACAAAATAAAAACTATAATTTATTATTTATAAATTTTTTATAAAATTAAATTTTATTAAAATATTATTCCGATATTTCGACTATCTTCAATAGTCATCTTCAGGGAAACTAACAAAATATACAATGTAAAATTTATAGCGGGAAAATTAAAAAGGAAATCATACAATAAATACAATAAAAATAATAACAACAAAAAACAACAACACAAAAAGAAAATAAAAATTTATGAATTATATATATTTTTGAAAAGATTATTGATGAAAAGACAAAATCTAGAAAACTAATAAAAATTTATTTTTTTGAATTAATTGTTAATAAAAAAAGTTTTAAAACACAGACATTTTTTTAACTATTTTCTATTAAAATACTATTAATATAAGAAAGAAAATTTTAAAAACTAATATAAAATTAATTAAAGTATAAAAAAAAAAATTAATTTAAGGACAAAACAGAATTATGTCTGTGATTTTGTAAATAAAAATATATGAAAATGATGCTAAATATTTAACAATTTTTATTTAAATAAATAAGTTGTAATAATACATATGAACATAAAAATTATTTTATTTAAGTGCAGATAATCAGAAATATGAATTCTAAAATATTTAAAAGTTTTACAAAATCTTACACAATTTTTTTTATATAAATTACAAAAATAAAAATAAAATTGACATACAAATTTAAAGTATTTATTTAATCCTTTAAGTATTAATATATATATGTTAAATAAAATAAAAAAAAATTGTTCATAATTACTCCTTAATTTTCTCAATATATCTTTTTTATTGCAACGAGTGCCTCAAAATTGACCAAATCAATAAAAAAAATATTAATAAAATATTAAAATAATAATAAATAATTTGTTTAAGTTGTGATTTTATAGCTTTTATAAATTTTTTTTTAAATTTCTTAAATTTTTTATAAATTTCAAAAATTGAAAAACAAATGGAATTATTAATTTTAATTCAAAAAATAAAATTAATTTCTTAAAAAAAAAAAAATAAATAGTGAATTAAATTAAAAAACTTAAAATAACTTTTAAAAAACAAAACTATGATATAACAAATTGCTATGGTATTTTTAAATAAAAATAATTAGTTTAAATACTTTTAATAAACTAGTAATAATAAAGAAATGCATAAAACTAATTTGAACAATATTTTTTTTTTAATATACAAAAATGTATAACAGAAATGGTGAAAATAATGTGACAAAATAATTTTTTTTTATTTTATTATAATATAATATATATAAAAATAATCTATAAACTAAAAAAATTTAAGGGACCAATGTGGCATTTATCATGAACGCATATATTTAAACCAAAAACTTTAAGTACAATTACAATATTTATAAATATAAATATTTATAAAAATTAGAGCTTAATATTTTTATAAATAAATAAACAAGATATATTTTTAAAATTTTTTTTTCTTCAATTTCAAAGTTTTTTTTTAATATTGTATACTGAAGATGGTCTACGAAGATCGAAATATCTGTAATATAAATAATTTTTTATAAAAATTAAAATAAAATTAAATATTTAACACAAACGAATAAGTGTAATTTTTAAAATTTGAAAAAACAATTTTATAATTTTATGAGTTAAATAAAAAATAAAAAACTTATTAAAAATTAATTAACAATTTTTTAAATTTCAACCCAAAAATAATTGCTGAAAGTATAAAATGTTTTAAACACATTTAAATTTAATATTAAAATAATAAATTTAATAACGCATCACATATAACATATTAATAAACTTATGATATTATTATATTTAAAATATATATATATACTGATATTTATATATATATATATATATATATATAAATATTAATATTAATATTAACGTATATAATTCAATATATTATATTTAATTAATAACAAACAAGGAAATGAATTTTATTTCGTTTAAAAAAAAATATGTTCTGCAACAAATAACAATCAATAATATTAAACAAAATAAAAGTATTACGAAATATAATGCTATACATATAGCATAATTAATTGTTGATTATATTGTGTGTTCTAGAAAATATTAAAAGCATTAAATTTTTTGACTAAAATAAAATAAATAAATAAATAAGTGAAAATTATAAAATAAATTTAAATTTGAAGAGTTTGTAAGTGCATAATAATATAAACATTAAAAAGTGTGAACAGTTGGTATTAATTGTATAATCGCTTCTGTTAATAAGATAACAGAGGTAACAGATATAACAGATATAACACAGACTGCAAGCAGTGAGTACAGTTTAATGATACTGAGAATGAATCTTATATTAATAAAAACAATAAGATTTTATTATATTAAACATATATCTAAAAATATTGCAGTAATATATATATTTTCACACTTTTTTTTATTTTAATGCATAATTTTTTATTTCAATATATTAGTTTATATCTAAATTTTTTTCATTACTTGAATAGCATGAATAGATAAATTATTTGTTTTCTGATTTTTTTTTGGCTTTATACATTTAAATTTAAAATTGTCTATTATTGAAAGAGACAATAATTTGTTTTGTTGTATTTGTTTATTTATATATAAGTTTAATAATTATTCTTTTATGAACATTGAAGATCATCTACAAAATAGCCCGAAATATTTGTATGAAATTATTTCTTTTTTTTAATATAAACAAAAAAGTTAACAATAACTTCTTAAGTGTTATTTATTAATTATTTGATTAAATAATAATTTGGTAACATTTATTTTTATTGAATAGTTATATATTTCATTTTTTCTGCATATATGGAAATTAAAGCATACATATATAACATGAAATATTTTAAAAATTTTATCAATACCTATATCGAAAAAAATCAATTAATATTTGTTTACTGAATATATATATTAAATATTCATAGTTTCGACGCTACAGTGATCATAAACATTTATCTACTATATTTTTATTACACTAATTATTTTTTTTTATTTATATATTATGTTATATATGTATGAAAATAGTTACAGCAAAAGTTTTATAAAAATTTGTTTTAAAAATTGGTGCTATTATAGTTAAAAATTATGAAAGAAAACATGTATACAAACATTTTTAATGGTAAAAAAACTTAATATAAAAAAAATATTGAAAATAAATATGTAATTCAATTCTCTGGAACAACAACCAAGGCAAAAAAAAGAAGAAAGTGACAAAAAAAGATCTATTATAGTCTAAAATTTAGAAAGAAAATCCTTATATATACATTTTTTATAGTAAGAAAAACTGAAAATAGGTTTCATTCTTGTTGGGAACACTTTAATATAAAACTAACGCTATAGGCTCTGTTAAGTAGAAATTAATATACCTCTGCTCTTAACAAAATTATAACAATAATTTTTTTTTCGAC